TGTGTGTGTGTGTGTGTGTGTGTGTGTGTGTGTGTGTGTGTGTGTGCATGTATGTGTGTGTCCTGAGTCAGTACTGTGCTCTCAGCATTAGAAAGCTCAGGAACACCAGCACACGCCACTCAAGCTGTGTCTCTTACAAACACACACAAACATACATTACAGATCTGAGCATGACTTACTGACTTCAGTCTACAAGCCTGTAAACATGCTCAGACATCCCCACCTACCTACACACTCATAAGCTGGTTCATCAGGTTAATAACACAGTGATCATAATTTACTAATGACATCACAGCACATTCTCTATGTGTATGTGTGGTTTGTTTGTGTTGGTCTTGTAGAATAGATTTCTACTTCTATTCTATTTTTGGTGGCTAAAATTTTAATTATTTATTTATAATCCAAGATGTAATGTGTTTACTTACCAATGGTAAAAGTTGAAGAATTGGTCGAAGAAAAAATATCATATTGTTTGACCACTAACTTTGAGCACTATTTTTTTGACTAATCTAATATTATGGGATGTGAATAGTGCACTTGGGGTGTGTTGGTATGCTGAAACTTTTCATGTTCAGCCATAGAAAGTGGTGGATAGGGTTGAGGGGTTCAAGAAAAGAATAGAAATGATGAAAGAAATCATGGGATGATGGATAAGATTGAGAAGCTGGAGAAAGAAAAATAAAAAATGTGGACTCTGCAAATGGGAGAGATGGAAAGAGGAAGTGGACAAGATGTGTATGAAGGGCGGAAAGAGAGGGATGTAGAGCACTTTAGTGTAGGTGTGTGGAGATAAAGGAGAAGTAATGTGCTGCGATAGAACTACATAGAAAGCTGGAACAAAGCTACGGAGAATGTGGCAAGAGAAAGAACGATTTTTTACACCAAAGGCCTTGTAGAAATTGTCAAAACCACAACCTATATTTCTACAGCACATTTCTGGATTTTTTACATTTATGTTGTTCAAAATATAAAAAGTTCAAAATTAATAATTTAGTTAATATTATATGTATACATTTTTTAATTATATCTGTATAGTTATACAGTAAATAATTTAACATTTGAAATATTGGTTTCTACATTTTTTTGAATAGTGAAGAGTCATGTAATTCCCTATACAAAAAATGGTGGATCAAATAAAGTCCTACTGACGAGTTTTGAGTTTTCGGTGCAGCATAGTGCTGCATGTTTTAATGTCCATTTCTTTCAGCATCTCATTTTCTTCTCTAATCTCTTTATATGAATAAAATGTATGTCAGAGTGTAAAACCAAGTTACATTCACTCACCCTGTGTCTCTTTGTCTCTCTATTTCTCCTCAGGTGGTGTGAAGTTTGAGAACTATTCCACAAACAGACCGCCCCCACCTTACCATGACTTTGTCCTTCAGTTCATCTCGCCTTTTCCCCTTCTCCTTCATTTCCTTGATCCTCCCCGTCCTCCTCCTGTCTTTCTCCATCCCTTCTCAAGCTGACTCCCAAGATGTAGCCCAGTCTACCTCCAACTGTTCTTATAATGTCGTGTGTGCAGAGGGGGTCCTTTTACCAGTGTGGAATCCCCAGAATCCCTCAGTTGGTGACAAAGTGGCCCGTGCCATTGTGTACCTAGTGGCACTAGTCTACATGTTCTTAGGTATGTCAATAATTGCTGACCGCTTCATGACTGCCATCGAAGTTATAACTTCTCAAGAAAAGGAGATCACTACAAAGAGACCCAATGGTGAAACTGTCACCACGACAGTTCGCATATGGAATGAGACTGTCTCCAATCTGACCCTCATGGCTCTGGGTTCCTCAGCGCCTGAGATTTTGCTTTCAGTCATTGAAGTCTGTGGGCATAATTTTGAGGCTGGTAATCTTGGTCCCAACACCATCGTGGGAAGTGCCGCCTTCAACATGTTTGTGATCATTAGCATCTGTGTCTATGTGGTACCTGAAGGTGAAAGACGGAAGGTCAAACATCTTCGGGTGTTTTTTGTGACTGCGGCGTGGAGCATATTTGCCTACATCTGGCTCTATCTTATCCTCTCTGTGTTCTCACCTGGTGAGGTGGAAGTGTGGGAAGCAGTGCTGACATTCCTCTTCTTCCCTCTCTGCGTGGTCCAGGCCTGGATTGCTGATCGACGATTGCTCTTTTACAAGTATGCTCACAAACGGTACCGAACTGATAAGGGCCGTGGAATTATTGTGTCCGAGGGCGGTGAGGAGGTTGGGAAGGAGGTGGGATTCACAAAGATGGACATGCTGGAAATTGATGGAATCACAACACATCTGGATGGAATGTTGGGAGGGGAAAGTGGGCTTGGTGGACGTGATCAAGAGGAGGGGGCCAGGAGAGAAATGGCCAAAACTCTGAAAGAACTGAAGCAAAGACATCCTGACAAAGACATGGAGCAGCTCATAGAGATGGCCAACTATCAGGTATAAAAAAATAATTACATTTTTAACACATTTAGTTTTTAAATGTAATTACTTAATAATTTATAACATTTATATGATTTATTTTCTAAAATTTTGAATTATATAAAAAATTTATTGTTATAGATAATGTATTATTTTAAATATTATGGGTTTCTAACCTTCTCTTGAATGTTAAGGAGTGATGATATACTTAATGCTGATCAAATCAGATCTGTGGGCTGTTTCTCATTTGTGACTTACGAGAACTGACTGATCAAGGGAGTTTTCTGTGCAGCATGGGACATCATTTTTAAAAATATTAAATTAAAACTCTCTGTTCTCGTTGTCTTAGGCTTTAAGTTTTCACAAAACATGCATAAAAACATTTGCATTAAAACTCCATTCAACTCTATAGATGTAACCTGAAGTTCCATTTGTTGCAGACCAGTTCATTTAAACCTGCTTTGTAAGAAAGAGCGGGGCACAACCTAACACTTTCTGACTTTCTCAGTTTGTGTAAATACACTTGGGGTTCAGAGTATTTCTTTCTTCCTCTTCTTTTTTCACATTAATTTCACAAGTCTAGTACAAATATGTGGTCTTGTTTCATTAATACAGTGTACTTTTTTCTTTATTTACCCCAAAATATGAAATATGAAAATGAAATATGAAAACATGACCCATAGGCGGGGCACTTTGTAACATGTGAGGAGCACATTGTAACAACCATATAACAGATAAAACATTTAACTGATCTATTTAAAAAAATTCAATAAAATACAATGATTAACTTTTTAATATAAAATAATTGCACTTTTTAATAATTAAAATATACTAATTTTGGAGTTTGACAGTAAATAGAAAACAAAACACAACTATACACCATAGAAACAATGTGGGCAGATTTAGAAACACATCCAGACATTCAGAAAATCACAGAAGTGAACACAACACACCCCTCCCTCCACACACAGCTCTCAGTACATGAAACAAATAAATGAGCCAGTAAGAATACTTTAAATTTCACGGGTTTATGATGGTGTCTCAACAGAATTCATAAAATTGTTTATGCTATTATCACATTGCTAACATCATGGAATAACATTATTATTATTATTATTATTATTATTATTATTATTAATCCCAATATTATTGAGATTTAAATTCAGTCTTCTACTAGTTAGATAAGCATTAAAGAACTATCAAACCTGTTAAATAACAGATTGGAGATTAAAATAATAGCAGTTTTGTCATGCTACCATGTGTGGAAACTTTTAAACCGTGTGTTACAACTAACCCTGCGTTAGGTTATGCCCCCTCTCCCCTGCTCTCCCAGTTTGCAGAGACAATTGTAAGTTGATTTCCCCCAAAAATATAAAAACTGTCTCTCCGCTGTTTTAAACATTGTTTGTTATGTTATGTTTGAGTATAGTATATGTACATGCACTTTAAAAGTTAGATTTCAGCCAGACTTTAACAAATGTAATGTTTTAAATGTCATGTAAATGTTTTAGTTCAAAATGAAATCACACCAGTACATTTTGTTGTAAAGTTGTACTAACATACTGTACTTAAATAATGAGGTTGTAGCATTATACACAATAGTCAGCCAGTCAAATGAAGGCTGTAGCTTATTGGCTATATTTTAATTGACTCAATGGTGTGAGTTTGGATGCACAAGTACCTGTTTATCCAAACAGAGGAAAACAGGGGAATTGTTTTGGAAACCTTCTATTTTACAGCTTGAGAAATCGATCTGCAACTAAACTGCAAATAAATAAAAAAACACTTTCTCAACCTTCACTTTGCAGGTTCTAATACAGCAGCAGAAGAGCAGAGCTTTCTACCGCATTCAGGCGACAAGGATGATGATTGGTGCTGGGAACATCTTGAAGAAACACGCAGCGGATCAGGCACGTAAAGTGGTCAGCAGTGGGGAACCTCGGGAGCAAGAGGATGACCCTCTTGTTACAAGAATAGACTTTGAACCTGCCCTCTACCAGTGCTTGGAGAACTGTGGGTCCTTAAAACTTACTGTGCAAAGGCATGGAGGAGATGCTGGGTGTACTATTAAGGTGAGTTTAAAGTCAAATGCTCATTAGTTTATTCATTTTAATAGGGAACTGGATACTTTTAAACTTATTGTCTGATCTTGACTGATGGAAATTATGGAATAGATTTTTGTCTGTTTATTTAATGAGAACAAGAAAGATCTTCGATCTTTCTAAATGTTTATTCATGCACAACTCCAGGTGGACTACCACACAGAAGATGGCACAGCCAATGCCGGTTCTGACTATGAATTTGCTGAGGGCACACTCGTCTTCAAACCTGGCGAGAATATTAAAGAGATCACCGTTGGCATTATTGATGATGACATCTTTGAGGAAGATGAATACTTCTATGTCCGCCTGAGCAATCCTCGTATAGTCGGGTGGGCTGATGGACATCCTATTACTTTGGAGACTGGAGCACCTGCTCCAAGCGCAGCCCTTGGTGAGGCCCACACAGCGACTGTGACAATCTACGATGACGACCACGCAGGAATTTTCACATTCGAAAGCGAATCGGTGCGAGTTAGTGAAAGCATCGGCATCATGCAGGTTAAGGTCCTGAGGACATCAGGAGCACGTGGTCTGGTGGCGGTACCATACCATACAGTGGATGCGACAGCTTGCGGAGGGGAAGACTTTGAGGAAGTGTCTGGAAAACTGGAGTTCCAGAACGACGAGACAGTGTAAGAGGTTTCTGTCAGCTAATGCCTTTTTATGTGTGAGAATGTGTGTATCTGTGTTCTGCTGCCTTTATTTAGCTCTTTCTTTCCAAGGATTGTCCTGCTTGAGTGAACCTTCACAGTGAAAATGCTTTTAGACCTACAGTAAAGTTATTAGATTGTGTGTGTTTGGATTTCTCAGGCTTGCAGACAGCTTATTTCATGGCAAAGGGAAGGGCTACAAGAATTTAATTTGAAAGAACACAGTGTCACAAAAATATGAATACATTGTGATTTTGTTTTTCATTTACATTTTAGGGACTTAATGTCAAGAACATTCCACATATTTGTTGCCAATGTGGTAAAGACGAGCAGATGTTTTCTTTATACGGATTGTACTGTATGTCTTTATCCAGTTTCACACACACACTGCATCTTTGTCACATGAGTGGCAGCCATATTGACGGGTTACAGCACTCTCACCTATGCATGCTGTGAACCCGCTGTTGCAGTTATATTCACGAGCAGCAGTGATATGAAACAGGCCTTTCGTAATGATTGTGTGTACAGATGTGCTATACAGTGCATTAATTATAATCAATTTTTTTTTTAGTATGTTGGGGATATGTACAGTGAGTTTGATATGCCTCAGGCTTGTGAGGTGTAAACTCTATAAAATAGTGGGTGAAAGGGAAATTAAAGTGTTCAGGTAATGGTTGTGTAAGTCTACAGCTAACAAAATGCTTATGCTGTGCCCTTGTGAGGCGACCTCTTTCTGTGAGTCCATTTAAAATCAAGGTAATGCTGGTAAATGTCTTTAGGCTATGTATGATTGTTGGCTTCATATTGAGTAAGCTTGGAATAATGTGTAATGCATTTTCAGCTGTGTCTTTGTTTAACTTTTGTGTCATTCAAGCTAGACATTTGTCGCTGAAGCTAATATAATATTAGTCTTCCAAAATGAATATAAGAGAAATTGTGATAGTCCTTCAGTCCCAGAAGCAAAAGTAAAAAGATAACTAAATTTTCTGAGATAGATAGATAGATAGATAGATAGATAGATAGATAGATAGATAGAGATTGATTGATTGATTGACATATATTGAGATATATATTAACATAATTACTAAAGGCTCACTCCAAAAATATTTAGGGCTTAGGAACAAATGTAATTATTTATGAATCAACCATTGAAAAGAAAAATGGGTGGTTATAATTATTGTCCTGGTTTGAATTCAGAAAGATCAGCCATGAGGAGAGGACAAATCGAATAGCTTATATCATTTTTGATACGGTTGGTCTCTGTTGATTTACTATCCAATAAGGCTTCACAACAGGGACACACAGCAAGCAGACCTACAACAAAATGAAACAGAAAACACTGCCACAAAATGAAGTACACACACACAGAGCAGACTAACACTCACACATCATGGGGTCTGTGATGGACAGAGGAGGGCTGGAGATAATCAGCAATATTCTGTATTTCAGCTTTGATGCACTCCCCTCTCGCTGAATCTCTGCTTCCCTGGCACCTGTCTCACTATCTCTCCCTTCTTTCAGTCCACAATCTTCCCCCTTTCTTCTCCTTTTCAATTCAGCTCACTCTTACTCTCGTTCCTGCTGGAAAAAATATGTCATACCAGCTTAACCCTCATAAAAGTAATGATAATGATTTCAAAAATAACCTTTTATTTCACCTTTAAATTTTAATGTTCATCTGTTCATCACCCCGTAGACAGACATTATTGAGGCTTTATCTCTCTATTTAACCACAATGTAGGCAGTGTTTTTTACCAGAGCAAAAACACGTAGTAGAAAAATTAAATGAAAGAAATTAAAGGGGTCATATGACGTTGCTAAAACAGAACATTATTTTGTGTATTTGGTGTAATGAAATGTGTTTATGCGGTTTAAGGTAAAAAAAAAACACATTATTTTCCACATACTGTACATTATTGTTTCTCCTCTATGCCCCGCCTTTCTGAAACGCATCGATTTTTACAAAGCTCATCGTTCTGAAAAGCGAGGTGTGCTCTGATTGGCCAGCTATCCAGTGCGTTGTGATTGGCCGAAATGCCTCAAGCGTGTGACGGAAATGTTACAACCCTTACCATACTGTGATGCCGTGTCCCGGTGCGACGAGACAAAACCAATAAAACCCATTACAAACGAGGCATTTGTAGCATCCAGTGGGGACATAATTACTGATTATAATGACTTATACTGTCTGCCTTCTTTCTTTGTATGAACATTTGGGCGGTGTTATGCAAATCTTCCCACACAGTGACGTAGACATGTGGGGGTGTGTTTAAACGAGACGTTTTAGGAGGGCGTGGACGAGTCTTAATTTTTATAAAGAATATCTCTTTGGGTTTGAGACTTTAGTCTTTGCAACTTTAGCTTGTAACACTCCAAAGAGAAAGGAAAACTTGAAATCGCATCATATGACACCTTTAAAATATAAAAAACTGATAGGGTTGTACTGCTGTAGTATGTACATCATTCAGAGAATCTGAGAATATTAACATTCATTGCATTGTGTAATGGTCATAATGCGTAACATTCCTAAAGGAAATGGTGTAAGTGTGTCATCAAGTTTATAATCATATTAAGAAATGATATTCATATTAAGATGTCTCATATTAAAATGTTAAAGGGATAGCACACCCCCAAAAAATAATAATAATTCTTTGTTTATGAAAATTTGATTTTTGTCCCTCCATTAAAAGTCCATTCACCCAAAACTTGGGTGAGTAAATGATTAGAGAATTTTCATTTTAGGGTGAACTAATCCTTTAATAACGTTTTACAATATATTAAAATGGCTCGAAAACAGAACATGAGGGGGTTTGGGACATGGAAGCTGGGTTTATTTGCTGGTGCAAGGTGGTCTACCAGTCTTAACCATCCTTAGCAAGATGGTCTACAACGGTAAAACCAAATTCACCAGCTAGTAGTCCTGCTGTTTAACCAGCAAATTACCATAAATGACTAGCTAGAAACCACTTATCTGGATTTTCCAACAGCTGGGTTTCACTCTCCTCCCTTGTCCATTCTCATTCTTTCCCATTTTTTCCATATTTCTCTACATTTTTGTGAACAAATGGGCTCTTTGAGAGTAAAATACTAATGCCTTTAGTACTGTTATTCAATCTAAACCTCTTCAGTTTACTCCCCTTTCTCAGTTCTGTCTTCCAGCCTTCAATTCATCTATCATCACTCACTTAATCAATCTCTCTGAATGTATCACATTTCATGCATTGTATATCGCTCCACTCCACTCCAACCTAATCTAAAATATAAATATGTGTTAGTGTCTGCGTGTGTGTGAGAGAGAGAGAGGTTCAGCTATGTTAATATTTGTATAGCCCCAGTGGAACTCTGTAGTGCCCTGAGCTTGACACAGACATAGACACCAGTGGACGAGTGAAGAGATGGTAACACATAATAAATGAAATGCAGACAGGGGTCAGCATTGAGGACACGGATGAGATAAAGACAGACAAGGAGGTCTGGAGGATTAGTTTGTGTGTGACTGAATGTGTCTTTGCCTGTTACCTTCATGCTACGATATACTGAGGGATGTACCTTGATGTTATTCCATCGCTTTGACACTGATTTATTGCTCATATTTCATGAAGAGTTTATGCGGTGCAGAGAAGTGCTCTCACATATTTGTACTCACATATAAACTGTCTCACCATCCTGTCTCTTTGTATTCCTATCATTTTACGCACAATCTGTCTTTTTTCTAAGATTTTCTTTTTTCTAATTAAGATTTTCTAAATCAACCCCTCTATTTTCCTTGTCATATCAAATGTTATTTTTTGCCTCTCTCTTGTGACATGGGGTTCTGCATTAGGCCTTTCCCTGTGACCCAGAATCTACTGTGAGTTCTAGATATGCTTGACTGCAGCTTGAAATCTCTGTGAGTGCTCGTCTCTGAGTATGTGTGTACAAAGTAAAAGTAGATCACTAACCCATGAGCAGTGTTTCTGGATAGGCAGATTCCTCTTGTGTCAGACTCAAAAATCTGCTCACCATTTACACTTTCTTCCAATACTGTAAACTACAGGTACTCAGAATACAAGAAGCAAATTAGATTAAAAGATAAAATGAATTTTAAAGGGATAGTTCACTTAGAAATGGAAATGATGTCATATTCACTTACTGTCATGTTGTGCCAAACCTGTATGACTTTCGGGAACATAAAAGATGTTTGGCAGAATGTTCACACCACTGTTTTACACACAATGATGTCATGTATGAAATGGTGCAATGCTGACCAGGGCTTATCAAGCTCCAAGCACCATTCAAGTCAAGTCCATTTGACTTGTGCACTATATTCCAAGTAGTTTAAAGTCATATGGTAGCTTTGTGTGAGGAAATAACAATTCAATTCTATTTGACGTTCCTCTTCATTGTACCTCTATGCCTAGTTTGAAACATAGCAATCAGTTATGAGATGCATTCTGAATCATGGATATCAAATTTAGCTTGGTTTGTTGATACCAAAGCTCACAGTTTTCAACTTCTACTCTGAGATGTCTTTGTAGTTTCTTGTATTATTTGCTCTGTTCCTCCTGTGATCTGGGTTTTACATGGATGTGGCCTTGGGCTTGCCAGAGCAACCTCTGATCGTACCTTTTGGTTTTCAGGGAAAGACAGAAGAGAAAAACAATCCCAACTCACTCTCAATGTCTGTCTCTCAGTGTCAGGTCACGTATATCTGGAGCTCTGAGTCTGTCTGTGTGTGTGAAAGAGAGAGTAGCATCACATGTGTTTTTAATTTGACTGCTTTATGGCAAGACATCATAGAAAATATAATAATATAACAATAATAAACACTAATTGTTAAAAACAAAAAAATGTCATAGATATTGCAATAAATGAAAATGTATGATAATGTGAATTATACAGGAGCTGTGTACTTGTTAATATGACTTTCTGCCTCTCATTATGTGTGTGGATGTTCATTTTGTGGCATCTCTAACTTTTATGCTGCAACAGAGCCTTATCAT